TTTCTATTTTCAATCCTCAACCTAACTGTAGTAGAAGCATTCTAAGTAGAATCCAAACCTGACAAGGAAACCAAAGAGAATTTTAATAGTTTCAACAATTGATAATTGTACATACTTTAGGGTACAGTATGATATTCTAGTCCACATAAGCAATTATAGTAATCACATCAGCACAGTTGACATACTCATCTCCCAAAGCGTATGCCATTTCTTGGTGTTGGTATTCAAACTCCTATCTACTAGCTATTTTAAAAGCATTTTTGAATACATTTGTTTTTTATTTTATTGAAAATAGATGTTTTTCATACAACATATTCATACTCACTGTGTAGCTGAGGCTTCAGTTCCTGAGTGGGGGTTACAGGCATGCACCATCACACCAGCATTCCATGCCAGCATCTCATATACCACCATGCCAGCATCCCATGTACCAATGTCCCGTGAACTACCATGCCTCCCTGGTGCTCTCACTCTGTTTTGTCCTATTCCAGTTTTTTTGTCCTATTTTTTAATATTATTCTTTTGATGCCTATTTATTTTCCAATGAGAATCAGAAAGGGTGTGGATTCTGCTGGGAGGGAAGATGGGCATCATGTCTACTAGCTAATTTGAAGTATAAAATTACTTCTTTTTGATTACTGTTACAATGCTGTGATATAGAAAACTAGCAGTTACTCTTGCTACCCAGCAGCACCTGAGCATATATGACCCACCCACCATCATGTTGTCACATATCTGCAGCTATCTGATATTTGACAAAGATGCTAAAAATAAATACACACTGGTGAAAAATACAGCATCTTCAACAAATGGTTCTGGGAAAACTGGAGATTCACATGCATAAGAATGAAATTAAGACCCATATCTGTCACCCTAAACAAACATCAACCCCAAATATACCAGAGATCTTTATGATAAACCTGAAAGTGCTAGAAGAAACATAAACAGTACCCTACACAGTATAGGAATGATAAGAAATGACATTCTGAATAGAACTCCACTTGTTCAGGAACTAAAGTCAATAATTAACAAATGGAACCTCATAAAACTAAAAACTTCTATACAGCAAAGAAGGCATTCCACCAAGTGAAGAGGAAGCCCACAAAGTGGGAGACAATTCTCACAACTCTGAATCTGATAGGGGACTCATGCCCTGAATTAATAAATAAAAAAGAGAATCAAGAAAACAAATGATCAAATTTTAAAACTTGTGATACAGATCTGAACAGAGAATTCACAAAAGAAGAAATAAAGATATCTGTGAAAGTGTTCAGCATCCTTAGCAATTAGGGAAATATAAATTATAACTACTTTTTCATCTTGCCCTGGTCAAAATCGGTAAGTTCAAGAAAACGACGATTAGAAAGAGGAAATAGAGGGGAGAAATGATGTACATACAGTACTAATATTGGAAGGGTTTTTTTTTAGTCCTTCTGTATATCACCATATGATATATTTGTAGCTGGTCCAGTTTGCAATCACAATGAATGATGGTCCTCCCTCCACACAGCTGTCATTATTTGCTTTCCATACGTAGAGTACACTGAGGGAAATGGGGCAGAAAGACTGTAAGAACCAGAAGACTAGGGCATCTGTCAACCATATACTTCAGGGATGTTATACTTATAAACAAGACCAACACCAGGTGACACGCCTGTGTGGATGGAAGAAGTCTCACAAGACCTCACCCCTAGATGAAGAGCTCCAGGCAATTAATGGCTATTGAGAGAGGAAGAATCTGTCTTCTCCAAGGACAGCCCTCTGATTAGTTATTTAATTCCAAGCTGTCATCCCTGAATACATACACATATGAGCAATACCAAATGAACTCAACAGGATGTATTCATCCATATATACTCAACAATAATCATTGAAGAAGGAAAGAGTCATAAATTTGAGAGAGAATTGGGGGACATGGGAGGAATTGGAGAGGGAAAAGATGTATAAATGATGTAAATACAGTGCTCATGTGTGAAATTCTAAAGAAAATAAAAATATTGTTTCTGCTGATATACCCTCGCTCTCTAGACCAGCAAGAGCTGCATGGAGCTGCTCCCAAGCAGCTGTGGAGGTGTCTACAGACCCGGGCATGTCCATCACAGCTAATCACCCTCCTTGAGTAATCTCAGAGAGAAGCTTATAAAGTGTTTTAAGAGGTTGAGAACCACAACTTCAGAAGCACATAAATGCATATATATAGTTTCTGTGGATAGAATAGTTTCACCCACACACCTTCTTGATGTCGATTAGCTGGCTCAACAAGGTCACGTCTATTGATGAAGTCCTTAAAGAAAGCTTCCAACTGGTTTTTAATGGAAAATTGATGCCTTCCCTTTGATTAACTCAATAAAAGTTTGGAGAAAGTGCCCAGATAAAGGTCAGTTACATTGACCGACTTTGAAATGGTTCTGATTCTTCGGTATTAACATATGTGGGTTTCATCAAGTCTGTGAAATAGCAAAGATTCCCCTTTGAACTCCAGCACCAGGTCACCATCAAAGACTAACCACGTTCACATCAGTTGTTCTTTTATTTCCTCAGATTCCCTCTGAAGCTGTTAAGAAATGATTGTAATAAAAGGTATTTAAGGCTTGCAGAGATGACATGTCAAAGCAGAAGGAAATTGTCTAGTGATCTAATCATTTATCCTGCTTTACAGAGCAGAAGTTAGGAAAGGGAGAACAAGATGAATCCCAGCCAAAGAGAATGCAGCTGTCGTCCCTAAACACCTCAGCTGCCACACTCCAATGCAAGCATCTCAACACATCCTCCTTTCATGGGGGAGAGGCTGTCCCATTAGTTCTGCCACACTCCAAAGAAAGCATCCAACACATCTTCCTTCTGTGTGGGGTGGGGGAGGGCTGTCCCGTTATTTTTCTGACAGAGGCAAAGGTAGTCCAGGCTCAGCTGAAATTTCATATTCTGATTTATGTGGTTATCATTAGACTTTTAGAACTTGAAATGTTCTAAGAAATGACAGACTAAAAAATGAAACAAACAGCAGACACATGAAATCTTTGTCTGTCTCTTGTACTAGCAGATAGACTCGCTCTGCCCCACTGGGCTCTTGAGAAACCTATATTGTGCCTGATCATCACTGGAGTAGACAAAGCTACAAAATGACTTCTTTTTCTCTGGTGCTGTCTTTGTCTTCATCACAACAAGCTGGTTTCAGATAACGAGCCAGGAGCAGTGTGGCAGGACTGAGTTACTTTCTTCCTAATATGTAAAAGGCATAGACTTCTGTGGGTGGCTGTTCACAGACGCAGAGGCATCTTGGAGTAGTCAAGAGGAGATTTTGATGAAAAGAACAAGAAGCCTCATACACTGAAGTGCCCTGATTATGAAGTTGAAATTGTGTGTCAAACTAATTAGGAATGACCTTTTATGGCTTAGCCACCATCCATCTGTGGGATGTCATTCACTGCCAAGCTGCAGCCTTGACTGAAACCAAGCTACAACATAATTGAGAGAAACAAGACAGGAGAGTTTTATCTTTAGCTTGGCAAATAATGAAAGTCTTGAAGCTATTGTGGCAGTTAAGTAATTTTGAAGTCTCTCTCACAACATTTCCATTTTTATGTAGCAAGGATACTAGGCACGCCTGCATCTTCCTCTGGTGAAAACTTAAACACTTAATGAACTTACTTTGATCTGAAAGATAGTATTATTTCAGGTTGGCTCACCTGTAGACATACCTACAAATACGGTATATACAAGAATACTAAATATATTATCAACTGTGTTTATTTTGATGTAATTATTAAAGTACACAATAATCCAACTAGCTTAGCATCTCCACTCTAAATTTGAAAGGAATTATTTTGTCTATATTATCTCAGGATTAAGTGCATTTTTTATATATCTTATTTTGACCTATACTCCCTCTCTTTGGTTTTCATAGAAGATAAGCTTGATGTGATCAAAGATAAGTATAATTATTTTAACGTTATTTTTTAAGAGTAAGAATGATACAAGATTGGATATGCAAAAAATATAATTGAATCATTTTATTCAAGCTTTTTGTGATTATTATGGGCTTTTATAATGCATTTTCTTGTGATAAAACATTAACCCCACACTTACCTTTACTTGCTTTGTTCTTTTAATTTTATTGTTACCATTTGTACAAGCAGCCACAGAGCTCGTGACTATCATTTTAATGGTGAACTGGTATTTCTTTGTGAACATAAGCCATACTTTTGAAGTTATATGCAGTTAGTTTTAATTACAAACTCTGTTAGTATTCATTATATTCAAGAGAAAGAAAATTTAACTATTAGGGTGGCTGTAAGATCTAAATTTGCTGCCTGCTGTAGTGGCATACACCTTTAATCTCAGAGCCAGGGGAACAGAGGTGGGCAGATCTCTATGAATTCAAGGCCAGCAAGGTCTACATAGTGAGCTCCAGACAGTCAGACTAAGTTTGCATATGGTACATGCTGATGTACATACTAATTGTAGCAATTTGCTCCACATTGTACACTTTTAAGTATTTGTTTGAAACAGCAATGGTAACCCACATCAAGCTCAAGACATATGGAAACTTACCAGAGTTGTGCAAAGGTTGTCACATTCAAACAAAAAAGAGAAAGTTGAGTTGAGTAGCTTGTAACCTCTGTGCAGTGTCTGCCATATGCCAATAATAAAATATGTGAACTTGATCTTGCCATTCTCCTGCTCCAAGATTATAGATTTCTGTTTCCTTCCTTGTTCTACCAATTATGTTGGACTATTTCCAAGAGCAGACCTCCTGCAAATGCTAGGTTCAGTCACTTCTGAACAGGCTCCAATCCCTCCACCCTTGATTAATAGTTATATCTCAAAAATAGCTCTCTGATTTTTTCAGTGGTCCCTAGAATACTGACCCTCTCAGCTTTGTTGGTTTTCACCAAATGCTATAATGCCTGCTTTGTGTTTACTTGTGATTTGTGTAGGAGGCAATATCATGAGGCATAAAGATGTTAAAGATGCTTACTCTCTCATTTTTCTTTCACCAGTGGGATGGAGTAGGACCTCTTCCAGACTGTGCAGAACCACCAAAAGGGATCCAGATGCTGTGGCACCCATCCATAGTCAAACCCTACCTCACACTGCTCTCTGAATGCTCAAACCCAGACACGCTGGAAGGGGCAGCAGGCGCCCTGCAGAACTTGGCTGCAGGGAGCTGGAAGGTATGGCTAGTTCATTACAATACAAAAACAGTCTGGAATTATGAGCAAGCCTTAAAAATGGTACAAGTGTAGGTTTGAAAAAAATGCAATTCTAATAAATACTTTTAAAACATTAGAGAAAAGCCAATTATATTGAGCTGTGGGCTTAGAATGCCCTTAGATATTCTTCTTAGGTGCTCCAGTGTCCTTGAAGACCATTGTGAATGTAAAGGGATAGACATGAGTACAGCCATTGAAAACACTCTAAAATGCTTGTCATTTTACATGGACAGCTAACTTGCTTATTTTTCAGGAATTATTATGATAGGTTAATATTTAAAAGTATATCATTGGCCATCAAGGGAGCTAAGTCTAAACACCTTTTCTAAAAAACCTTGTGAACAATGTAGTACCAATTCCTGATCCTTATAGCTAAGAACCCCATGCATTTTAGGACTACAGACTTACAAAAAGGAAACAGCAAACACATGAATGTAACAACCAAAAGGAGACCCTTTTTATCCAAGGTGTTGCAGACGGATACTGCTCCTGATTGATTTTCATAAGAAATTATCATCCCTTCATTTGGGGTAGAAAATATCCTCCTTATTTAAAAGAAATCGCTGGGTATATTCACTAACAGTTCTGTGTATTAGTCTTCACTGTTAAATAAAAAGGTATGGTCACTCAGTAAGCTGAGGTTGTATGTGGGAAATGTCAGGAAAAGAAATCAGAAAGTTTTGAGTTTTTCCCATCATGCTCCATCCATTTACTACCAGTACCTTAATTTGGAATATTCATAACCTCTTTATTCATTTGACATTTGTTATCTTCAAAAACATATTAGCATTGACACATAGAAACATCATATTCAGAATCACAGTGCCAGAGATGCACAGGACACCGCATAGCTACACACTCCTGCTCAGACCTTCCAATGTTTGCCTTATCCCTCTCCCCTCATCCTTCCTTTCTGCTGCTTCAGCCTGAGTTTTCTCAACTTGTTTTTTCTCCTCCATGACATCCTAGCTCTCTGGGCCCAGCCCTAATGAGTTCTCTCGAGGCTGCTGATGTTAGGTAAGCTTAGTCTTTTCTTAAAGACCTTAGGGATGAAGAAAACTTATTGTTTCACTCCCACCCATGAGGCATCCCCAGTATTTAAAGAATTTAGCTTGGGCTGGGTTGCGAATGAAGCTGTCTCTTATTTTCAAGCAGAGATTGGGAGAAAAGTTTTAAAACTTTTCAGTTGCACTCTTCAGAGGGCCAGCACGTAGCATGCCATGGCTAGGAAAGGTATAATGATGGAAGCCACTCTATTTTGAGTTTGCCCTCGGAACTTACATTTCTCTAAGCTTTCATTTCTCAGAAGCTTTGATTGGAACCACAGTTCAAACCTAGGCTGGCCCCATCTTGTCTGAGCATGAGACCTAGAAAATTAAAGCTCTCTTGTGTGTCACATGACTTCTTGTTTAAGAAGGCCATTGTGACTGTCTCACTCTGCAGACATGAAATGAAAACATGATAGAAGATTAACAGATCAAGAAGTTGTCTTTCTGTGAGGTCAAGAGCCCTCACACATAGTTTCCCTCCATCTACCCTTCCTCAATGCACTAGTTGAACAAGGAGAAAGTGGGTTCTGGGATGAGCCTGACCTGAGGCATGAAGGTTTACATGGTAGCAAATCACATATACTATTTTAAGATACAATTTTAAATAAATTATTTTATTTATCAATATGCTTTTCTGTTTTTATAATTTTTCATGTTTCTTAAGACATTATGATGTCCTTAAGACAGCTTAAAAATGGAGAAATGTCTTGGGCTCTACAAGATGTTGAATGTAAAGATTTTAACTTAAGTTCTGTATTTCATGTGTTCTAAAAAGTTAAGGGGAGATAGGTAGATGACTTAAATCAAACCTCTGGAGTCTTGAAAGTAATGTCTGAAATTAAAACTGCAAGGAATAGAATTAATGGCAGACCAAATAATGCAAAAGGAAAAAAATCAATAAACTTGAAGACAGCACAGGGAACTATTGAGAATGAAACACAGGGAGAAGAAAAACAACGTCGGCATAGCTGTACTAAATAGGCTGATGTACATAATGATTCCCCACATAAGAGAAGAGGGCAAGGAAGAGAGCAAGAGTATAGTTAAATAAAGTGAATACTCTACATATATAATGAAAACCATACATTTATATATCACAGAAGTTAGGAAACTCCAAACACAGAAAGGAAAAAGGAAGGAAACTGTAGAAAGAACATTGTAGTCAATTGTTCTACACTGGTAATAAAGTATTAAAAGAATCCAGAGGACAGAGAATTGTTATGCACTGCACTGCACTGTGTCTAAGCCCAGCACACAATCAATGTCACTAGTCATTCATTCATTCATGATGTAAGGCCTTGCTGAGCCACCTACTGTTCTCTAGGAGGGGTGTGGTCCATGAGGCATGGAACAACAGAAGCCATGATGTAGTTTTCTCCTGTGCTCTTCTCACTGGCCTGCGTTTGGATTAGCAGTTCTCAAACACTGGCGCTTAGCCCCAGCGGCATCTGTGCGCACATCTCTATTCACAGCTATAAGTTTGACTTCTAGGGCATCAGTAAGCCATGTACAGCACAAATTACTCCCCAGGCCATCCTTATAGGGTCTTCATCCTTATAGGACTCTATATTTTATTTTAATTATTTGATTCTGATATCAACATGC